CTTTATATATTCATCTCTTTTTTCCAACATATGCTTGAATTATTTATATTTGTAATTAGCCACTTGCTATCAGCTAACTTTTTTGAGCCAACTTGTGTTGTCTTCAAAAAAATGGGATTATACTATATGCGACCAGTAAAGTTGCCCAAGTTATCGATATCTTTTACAAAGTATTCAATACTTGCTGTTGCACCTTCTTCGCCCCTCCAAGCTAATTCGTGAGAAACGTTGTGAAAAAATTTACGTTGAAGACCTTCTGGACTATATTCATTCCTCAGTTCTGCAATCTTCATATATTCTGTGTCACTTAACACCTAAGCTATAATCTTTCGTTTTGTTGAATCCTTTTGTAGTTCCTTACGTTTGGCATCAGGTGCTGCTCTTGCGTTTTTAAACGTTATGTCAGAAAATGGTTCAAATTAATTTTATATTTTTCATAATACATTTGCTGTAGTTGTTTTGGAGTTGAATTCAACATTACTTTTAAAACACTTTCTTTGTACTCTTACAAATTTGCTTTTTTCATATTAAATGAATTTTTTCTAGAATACTAGACTCTTGTTCAACAGGTAACTTTTCGTGTATAAGACTTCTAATCGCAAATTTCTTGAAATTGCTCCCAAATGCTTGACTTTGATTTTTTAGTATTATCTGGGATCAGATGCTGAACTTCTTTTGTTATTACGTCCTGGTTTTTTCTTCAAAAACGAGAAATTTTCACTAGTAATACCACTAGAGGTCAAATTATTTCCGGAAATTTTTTCGAGCTCATGAAAATTTTCTAAAAATATTCATGAGCGAGAAAAAATTTCCTGATATTAATTTGACCTCGCGTGGTATTCGGTAAGAAAATTCCACGCCGAATTATGGTTGAAAATTAAATATTTTTAAAATTTATTTTTCGTTTCTCAACAATGCAAATTGTTTTCTCCAAGTCACCAGTGAAACATAAAAGGTGTTGTCGCCTTGATTGTTGAGTTGTCATGGTAACTAAGTGAGACCCTAACCTCGAATATAATTTCAGTTTTGAAGTTGTCAAGCGGCCCGACGTAAAAAAATGTTTCGCTGCAATTATTTAGGCCTTCAAATTGCTTATTTCTACTCATTGTAGTTGCATGGGAATACCATTTGAAAATAGAAAATAGTATATTCTTTAATTTTGCGCAAGTTTTGAATAACTACAAGTGGTAGAAAATTGTTTTTCTGCGTTTTTATTAACATGCGTTATGAGCGCTTTAAAATGGTATGAAATTCATAACCAGCGTCAGCAAGCATCAATCGTAGGAGGCTGTGATCATTGTATTTTGACAGTTCAAAACATTAAATAACTCGCGTTTTGTTGCGATAAAGAATATTGCACAGCAAGTAACACCAACACAATTACCTATTTGTTTAAAAATGAATCGATTTGAAAATCATACGCTATGCAAAATATGCGTGAAATTGTTTGATGTAATGATCAATCATTGCACTATGACTTACTTACTCGGATTAATAGAGGATTGTGGCTCCAATTTGAAAAACGAAAATTTGTTCCGAATTGTCCACGAATATTTGTACCTAAACTAAGCAAAATTCAAAGTGCTGAATGGGAAAAAGGTGAATAAATTAGTGTCTAAATATTATATATATTTTATTAGACATAGATGCATAATTCAAAGCATCCAAAGTCCTGCATTTTCGCCATTAAGAAGAAAAGAAGTGGCCGAAGAATATAGAAAACACCTTAGCATTGTAACTAAAATGTATCAAAACTAAACCTATTATGTGAACAAATAAAAACCAGTCTGTCAAAAATGGTCTGTAAACGTCAAAAAATTTCCAGTATAATTCGCTGTTGGGTACCCCACGAGAAAAAAATTTCCACTAAAATACCTCCGTTGCCATGGTGATCTGTCAAAAACACGTATTTTGATTGGTTCAAAATTACAGGTGTGGAATTTTCATAAAAACTCTATAATATACTTTTCACTTTTGACAACTCACACAATACAAAGCCTACTATTTAAATTTCAAAACCATCAAAACCAGTCAATTATCCTAGTATTTTTACTTCCCTCTATAAAAAAGAAGTATAGTAACCGTGGAAAAGTCACCTTCCGAAATTATTTCAGATTTTCACGTTTTAGGGTCCCTAGATTACGAAAAACATGCTTCCCCATTCCGTCTTTCTTCCTCTCTGTCTATCTTTTGGCGCGATAGCTCAAAAACGGTTTTATAGAAAAACTTAAAATTTTGTATACAGATAAGGTTTCTCTCTGGCTCAAACCCAGTTATACTTCCGATAAGTTATGTACGGGGTGAGCAGATTTTAAAATAAAAATAATTTTTAAGTCTGCAGATTTCGACTAAAATTGGCATCTGAGAATTTTAGAAGTCAAATATTACAGATCCTAAATAAGTTTTCAAAATTCAAAATGTCGCTGAAAAGAATCGTATGTAATCAAAAAAGCTCCCATTTAAATAGAAAAAATAAAAATCGTTGTTTTGGTTAGTGTAACTGGACCATTTTAAAAGCAGCCAATCATTATTGTTCAATAACAATAATCATGACGAAGAATAACGAGTGGACGCGAAGTGAAAATTCGGGTGGGATATAGAGGAAGATCGATGGAGAGAGTAATGTGAAAAAGGGTGTTTGGTTTGATGGTTTTAATTTTAAATTATTAAAATTTAAGTGCTTAGGAGTTCCCTACTTTTGCAATTTCTATATCGTGAGAAGTTCTGGGTAAAATACTTTAGCTATTATTTTAATAATATTTCAGTATGAAATTTTTTTTACCGAATATTACTGTAGCTTCAATTAAAAACAGAAAATTTTTTCTCGAACACGAATATTTTTTGTAAATTCGTGTCCTCAAAAATATGTCCAGCAATAATTGAAGCTCTAGTAGTATCATAAGTGAAAATTACCCCCATGTGAAATTGAAAAACGAAGAAAGCATATAGTGCGAAAAGAAAAATGGGAGAGGCATAAAATTCAAAAGGTAAGGAATGACGTATTTACCGTCAAACGGGGTGAATCAGGACTAAGGCGTCAATCGGGACAGTATGACGTTTATTTACAAACACGTGATTTTTATGCTTGTAGCAAATGTTTTTAGGACGGGTAATATGAAAAGCCTATTGCAGAAACCACAATCGTTTGACCTTCGTATGTCGCCGTCAGTTAATTCGCAACGCTTCATTGGTACAGGTGTCAAAATATTGCAGTATAATTTTACGTTTTTAAAACCGGCTGAAAACTTCGTTTGAAAAAGGTATTTATTGTAGGATTTGAGTATTGCATTGTTAATATAGTATACCTGTGGGTATTTTCTAGATGTTAAGTAGTCTTTGAATAAATTATTTTGTAAAGTTTTTTTATTATTAATTAATGAAAAAAACAAATCACTTCTAGGGGTGAATCGGGACGATGGTCCGAAAATACAAAAGAACGCCTGGGACTAGGTTTTACCAAAATTATAGTAAAGAGCAGCTTGAAACGGCTTTGAGGCAATTTAGAAGAGGCCAAATAACCCTTCGAGAAGCAGAAGAGTTATATAATATACCAAGATCGACGCTACAACGACATGATAAACAGAAGCCAAAGAAACATGGTGGGCAACCTATTTTGTCAGAAGGTGAGGAAAGTAGGCTAGTGCATTTGATAGTATTGGCGGGAGAGTGGGGATACCCGTTGGAAAAAATTAATACTCGATACATCGTTAAGGCATATCTTGATAGAAAAGGAATAAGAGTGGCAAAATTTAATAATAATATGCCCGGTGTTGATTGGGCGAATTTGTTTTGTTTGCGTCATAAAGAATCACTCACTGAAAGACTGTGTGAAAATATTAAACGAGCTCGGGCAGCAGTGTCTCGGGAAATAATAAATAAATATTTTGAGCACCTCCAAGAAAACTTACAAAACGTTGAAACTGAATCCATCATCAACTATGATGAAACTTGCTTTGTAGATGATCCCGGACGGAAAAAAGTCATTGTAAAAAGAAAAACAAGACATCCAGAACGAATAATCGATTCAACAAAAACATCGACATCAGTAATGTTTGCCGTAAGTGGTGATGACCAGCTATTACCCCCATTTCTAGTCTATAGGAGCGAGCATCTTTACGATACCTGGTTGACAAATGGACCAAAAGGTGCGCGCTATGGACGAAATAAAAGTGGCTGGTTCGACCAGCCATTATTTGAAGAATGGTTTATTTCTATTGCTCTACCGTTCTTGAAAAGACGTTCGGCACCAAGGGTAATCATTGGCGATAACTTATGTAGTCATCCGTCGCTCAGAGTTATTGAATTGTGCGAAGAAAATGATATTAGGTTTTGTTTTTGGCCCAATGAAAAAGGTTTGGAGGTCAACTCTACAAGATTGGAAAAAAGAATACAAGGGTTCTTTGCCGAAGGAGTATTTTCCGAGTTTACTAAAACGTGCTATAGACAAATTAGGAGGGACTCTAAGTCAGAATATTAAAAGCGGATTTCGTGGTACGGGAATTATTCCACTTGATAGGATTGCCACAAGAAAGAAATCTCCAAGAGGACGATCCTAATGCCTGGACGGAGTCTGTTGTAGAATTGCTTAATGAAAGCAGGAATGCTTGCAAACCAACAGTAGCAAGGAAAAATAAAATTCAAGTGGAGCCAGGCAAAAGCGTTTCAACAACAGATTTTTTAGAACCGCAACCGTCAACAAGCAATACTGTAGTGCCTCAAGAGAATGAAACTTCGGAACTTGAGTCAGAACCGGAATTAGAAATAATGGAACAGGAAGAGTTATTATATATTTTTTTTAATTAATTTATTCAAATCAGATAATTATCCAATACATATTTCAGCAGCCGTATTGACTACGATCACTTTCCCCTAAATTTTAGTTTTCTTCGATAGTTTTAAAAGAAATATTAATAATAATATCTAAAAATCGTCCCGATTCACCCTGTTTGACGGTACCTTTGTTCGATTTAGGGTTCACTGCAAATGTTTTCTTTTCTTAGTGACAAGCCTGGAGACCTATCTGAATTTCCCACTTGTAAAGCAAAGAAAGTATACCGATGTAGAAATGTAAAGATACAAGATATTCATTGGTTCCACAGACACTTATATTTCACCAGTGATAAGGTTAGGCAAGAAATTTTTTGAAGATCAAAACCAAAAAGGTTACATGGTATATCTATTATATTTTGTTCCTACAGTGGGAAGTGGTGGCAGTTTAGGAGTGTGCAAAAAGGCATTTCTAAACATAACATGTTTAAGTTCTGAAAGAATGGAGAACTGCCAAAAGAAAAGAAGGGGAGGGGATAAAGTGTGAGATAAATTTAAAGAAAGAAAGTTATCTGTTAAAATATTTATGGAAAGTTTGAAGTGTGCAGAGAATCATTACTCTAGAGGGCAAACATCGAGGTTGTATCTGCCTTGCGATATAAATTTGTCTAAGCTTTATAAGATGAACCGTCAGCAGAACCCACAGTTTTCAGTAAACATACCCTATTTTAGGACATATTATTCAGAAGTACAATCTATCTTTCGGCACTCTTTTAAGTGGTGCTTGTTCCACTTGTCTCAGAACAAAGAAAACTTTGAAAAAATCTAATTTCTAAAGAACAATAAAACATAATAACTGAACTGAGGGTTCATACTTTGAGATCGAAAGCATTTTATTCTTTATTAAAAAATAAATCTGATAATATACAAATACTTTCTTTTGACTCTCAAAAGAACATATGCTTACCAAAACTGCCAGATCAGTTCGCCTATTTTAAGCAGCAAATAAATTTCTACAACTTCACTATAGTAGCTAAAAACTCCAAAAGCCCACTTACGCCTTCCAATGTAAATTCATATGTGTGGCTGAAATACGAGCATCCAAGAAATTCAAATGATATTGCGTCTACTGTACACGATACCCTTTTTTTATCTTTATCTTTATCTTCGTCGGTTGTAAGCAGGTAGGGTTAGGTTTGGCCCAGAACACTGCAGCCTCTTGGGTCTATTGTATTCCCCTGATTTTCCCGTATTCAGGTACTATCTTTGGAATCGTCCTGTGCCTTTGGTTAGTTTTAATAAGTTCCCAACCAAGTGTTCCTGGGGCGTTTTTTTCGGTTCTAAGCCGCATTCGAAGATCACATAGAGGTATCTTTCTCTTCCATGCAGAGTTTACACGTAGCGGGCTCATTGTGTAATCCAATCACATGAAGATGTTTCAGCAATCAGTGCCCCGTTAGTAATCTCACAATGGTGGATATCTGAGGCTTTGCGAGTTGTAATGCCTCAGTAGCCATGCGTGGGTTTGGTCTCCTTCGCATGAGCTTACTGATTCTGTGCCCTCTTATCTGTTGCTAGTGAATTTAGTGTTTTGTGGTTATCCACCTGTTCACTGCCTGTCGAGCAGAGGTTTTGCTTATCCCAAATAGAGGTTCGGGTCTTGTGAATGGTAGATCTGATCCATCTTTGGCGAGTTCATCAGCCTTTTCATTTCCTTGGATATCTTCGTGCCCTGGTACCCATGCTAGGTTTACCTTGTTGTGGGTTGCTAGATCATTTAGTATTCCAAGGCAGTTCCGGACAAGCTTTGACTTGATTCTGTTTGAATCAAGAGCCTTTAAGGCTGCTTGGCAATCTAAGAGAATTAGGATGGTTTGTTTTTGTACTTCTTTCTTAAATTCTCTCGTAAACACAATTTGATTGCATGTATTTCAGCCTGAAATACAGTGGTATGTTTTCCCAGTGAGACTATGATGTTGTATTTGGGTTCAACCCCATGTACGCCAGAGCTTGTTCCCTTGTTAGTTTTAGATCCATCCGTATACCATACAAAACCGCTAAGCAAGTATTTATCTATCTCCGTATTTACCTCATTCCAGTAACAGTTGACCTGGAAGAGTCTGTTAAAGGTTAGGAAGGGTGTCATGTGATCTGATCCCATGTATAATATACAATCATTTACTTAATGTATTATTCTGGTATGTTTTATACGTCCCAGTGGATTCCAGTTGTTGGAGATTTACAGTATGTATGCACTCATTCTGGCCTCCCCCTTTATGACTAGGTCAAGGGGTGGGAAGTTTAGAATAATTTCCATAGAGGCTGTCGGTGTACTTCTCAGTGCTCCTGTAATACAAAGGCATGCCAGCCTCTAAATTCCTGAGAGAGTGTTGAGGGTTTTTTTCTGGTTTACTTTTGGCCACCAAACAACCGCTTTATAAGTTATCATGGTTCTTGTTATTGCCAAATATGGCCAGTGGACCATTTTTGGTTTTAATCTCCATGTTTTTCCAAATGCCCGTCTCCCTACAATGAGATACATTTTACATTAGTTGGTCACTTTTAGTTCCAAGTAAGTTTGCTATCTAGGATTAGACCCAAATATTTTACTTGTTTCGTTTTGTTTAGCCTTCCTCCAAACAGAGTTGGAGTTTCTAAGATCTCCAACCCTGTTTTTCGAGTAAAGGCTATGAGTTGTGCCTTGTCAGGGTTTACCAAGAGGTTTTCCCTAACATTTCTCTCAGCCTAAGAGCTCTTTTCATGAGTTCGAAACTGTGGTTTGGTGTTTCCTTCGGATAAGGATGACTATGTCATCGGCATATCCTTCGGGGTACAGCCCTTGATTGTTCAGTGTTTTCAGCAGTTCATCTGCCACTAGGTTCCACAGCATAGGAGAAAGGACTCCACCCTGTAGGCATCCCCTGGTTAAGTTTAATTTTGAAAACCAAATAGAGAAAGTTAAGCTTTTCGTGGATGGCTATTGTGGCCAGAACAAGAATGGTACGATGATAATATACTAGTTAAGACACAAAGCTCCTGGACATATCAAAGAAGTCTTACGTTTCCTGTTGTTGGCTACTAATTTTTGATAGGATTTTTGGGATAATTGAAAGAGGCATAAAGAAGAAAAATGTAATTGAAAGAAAGTAATATGAAAATATAATCGCGAAGCACCCAAAAGTTTTGAGACTTGGTGAATACCGGCACATAGCTAATGGCACTTTAGATGAAGTGAGTCACAGAGGTTTATATTCTCAAAGTCAAATGATTCTGTTACATTAAGGGGCGAGATATTCTACCGTTCAGATATTAAATCAATAGCGAAGAAAGGCAAGAAGATTTCTTTACTAAAGCCAGATTTCCAAAAAATGGGCAACTTTTTAAGAGGAAACAAGTCCTCTCTAGACACCTTGCTTAAAAAAAATATGGGCCAAATTAAAAAGACAACAAAGATCTTCATTTCTACAAAATATAGATAAAGCTACAGGGGCAAACACCAAAAACGATAACTTTAGATAAACAGGCCACATCAATAAAAATGATCAAAAAGAGCTTAGAGTGTAGGGTACATGTTGGTTATATTTTTTCTTACGTTGTTACATATTTGTTATACTTCTAATTCTAATAATTCTAAGTGAAACTGAATTATTTTAACTTTTACAAAGGGAATGTTATGGAAATATTAAATACGAGAAATTATTAACGTTATCCTTTCATAGATGATTAGGGAATAATTAGAATGCGGACTAAAATATCAGAAAGAAGCGATAATGAAGAATATCGTTTTAATATTATCTTACCATCACAACACCTTGTAATTAAGAGAAGGAAAACTTCAGGAAACCTTTTGATATTCAAATACCAGAAAGGGCCAAAAGCCGGGAAAAAAGGGAAAAACAAAACGAATCAATCTGGTTCTAAAATGAAAAACAGCACAGGAGCTAGGATCTACCATGTGAACTCAGGGAGGACAATTAGTTTGAACCTAGGGTCACTGACAACAGTCTTCCAGGCTGAAGTAACAGCAATAAATGCCTGCGCCAAAGTCATGCTAAATGACTCTCTTAGAGATAAGAGAATCGTTATCATGACAGACAGTCAGGCAGCCCTTAAAGCACTAAAAAGGGTAGAAGTACAATCTAAATCAATATTTGATTGCCAACAATCCCTCCAGGCTCTGGCAGAACATAACAAGGTTACCCTTGAATGGGTGCCAGAACATGAGGGAGTGTTTGGAAACGAGAAAGCAGACCTCCTAGCAAGGAAGGGAGCGGAAAAACTCTTATGGATCATAGGCTCTGGATGGAACTTCCTGAACTTAGCCAGTCCAAAAGATTCATAAAGGGGCCATCCACGAGCAGACAACATCAACTGCTAAACCTTAGCAGAAGCGAACTCAAGGCCGTAATAGGTCTCCTTACGGGACACTGCGGTCTTAGAAGACACCTAAATCTCTTAGGAATATCTGATGACTCCCTATGTAGAATATGTGAAGAGGAGGACGAAACTCCTATTCACATACTATGTCACTGCCGGAACCTTAAATGGGAACGGGAATGGTACTTCGGGGTACAATATCCGGAACCTGAAGAAATCGCGAAAGCGACCATCAGACATATTCTTGAATTCATCAAGAAAATCAATCTGATGGGATAGAAACTGTGAGGGGTACAATAAGCCTAGAGCTTCAGTACAAGTGGGCTTTGAACCACGCCCTAATTCAGATGATGATGAATTGTGATCAATATATTAAATTATCGCATGTTAGTATACAAGGTTTGCTAAGTGTTTTGCAAGATAAATTTTGGATAGTCACCGGTAGACGAGCAGTCAAATCCATAATCATTGTCAAAGATTCGAAACTAAATAGTTGAATACACCTCCTGTGGCATTACCATAAGAAAGAGTCGATAATGCTTCAGCATTTGAAATCCCTATGTTGATTTTACTAGATCACTTTTTTTGAAAAATTTAAGAAATGTTTGGATCTGCATATTTACTTGAGGAATATATAGAGTCATCCACCTGGAACTCGTTACGTCACTTTCAACGAAAGTATTACCAAGATTTATTGATCGACGGGGACGATCCAGAATTATCTATAGTGATAATGGAACTAACTTCGTTGGAACAGAGAATATATCTAAAAAAAAATTGGACTGGCAAACGAATACAGTACGATTTAGAGAATCAGACGAAAATTCGACCCTGTAACAGCAGCTTGGTAGGGAGGAAGGTGGGAGAGGCTTGACAAATTGGTGAAACAGTTTCTACGGAAAACTGTTGTATGTGATTGTGAGTCTATTATTAATTCTCGTCCACTTACATACTTTTCAGAATCTGGTGACGATTTAATT